TGCTGTACCACTGAATTGCATTTCCATTCCCTTTTACTCCTCTCCAACCCATAGGGTCTCACTGAGTGGCCAAGGCTGACCTCAAACTTGCCATCCTCCTCCCTCAGCTTCCCAAATCACTGGGATTATAGTCTTTTTTTATAACCTAGTATCAGTTTAATGGTAAATATAACTGAGATTAGATGGGAGCCATATATGATACAAATACAATTAGTGTTGTTCCTTTTCCATATTGAGTCAAAGATTGTTTTGCAAGTATTTCAAATTTTTTAGATATCATAAATCTACCCATAATACTTTAAACTTAAAATATTAACTTTATTCATTCAAAATACATTTAAAACTCATGTACTGTTATATTAATGTGGTTATTTTACAAAATTAAACTTATAGGAAAGAAGTATTTCCTCCCAAATAATTGTATGTGTATAGATATATAGCATATTTTCAAAATGAATCTATACACTGTGCATGTAGAACAAATACATAACATTTCCATGAGTCCTGAAGATTGTCTGCGAATGCAGATTAGACTTCCTCCAGAAACCATCAACTACTATGGAATCATGAAATTTCCCCAAAACAAAACTAGTATCTTACCTCCGTTACTTCAGAACAATTGAAGTAAAATTTTTGTGGTGGGGGGAAAAAAACTTATAAATTGTACAGAACCATTGCCTCTAAAAATTTTGTTTAAATTAGCATAATACTTTCTGTAAATGAAAATTTACATAGATGGCAAAAGACAATTTAAGATAAATCAATTCAGACTCAGTTAAGCAGCTGCGCTTATTTTCTCCAAGACACCTCCCTGAATATCTACAGCTTCACAAAAGTTTATTTGAAAACCATTTGAAGATTCAAAATTATTCAATTTTATAAAGAATGAAATTAAATAGCTTTTATATTCCTGAGTTAGGTTTCTAGAAGTTATACCCATATGATTTGTGCAATATTATACACATAATGTCATGCTATAGATCCACTTTGAGCAAAACAATTTTAGCTGTAATCAATATGAGTGGCATATTATTTAAAAAATATAACTCAACCCTGGTTTTCTTAGTAAATAATACAAATATTTCATTCTGGATGCTTCTGTTATATGCAAAATTATAGTTTACTTTAAAAACTGTATGTAGGTCTGAGGTTGTGGCTCAGTGGTAGAGCAATTGCCAAGCACACGTGTGGACCTGGGTTTGATTCTCAGCACCCTCAATACCACATAAAATACTAAATAAATAAAATAAAGTTTTAAAAAAACTGTATGTTACGTAACCATTTGGTAAATAAACAAATATTTACTAAATAAATCGTGAGCCTGACACACAGAAAAATGTCATTGTTACAGGTTTTTAAGAAATAGTGATAGCTTTTATAATGTTTGTAGCTTTAAAATATAAAAATCAAGGGCTAGAGATGTGACTCGGTGCAAGAGTACTTTGCCTGGCATTTGTGAGGCCCTGGGTTCAGTCCTCAGCCCTGAACTAAATAAATACATAAATTCATATAAATTGTAAAAATTAAGCCAGGTGCAGTAGCACATGCCTGTAATCCCAGCAACATGGGAGGCTTAGACAGGAAGATTGTAAGTTCCAGGCCAACTCAGCAGCTTAAGCAAGGGCCTAAGTAACTTAGTGAGACCCTGTCTCAAACAATAAAAAGAGCTAGGGATGTAACTCATTTGTAATGTGTCCCTGAGTTCAGTCCCCGATACTGAAAAATAAATTAACTAAGTGTGAAAATCATCTTTAAATAATGAGATGTCTATCAGGTTAATAAATTTCCCAGTTACAATTTCCTTCTCCTTACCCTACTCAGTGAGAACTCTTTAGTGTCTAATCTTCATGAATTGTTTTGTTTAACTTTGAATAAATAACATGAACTGCTTTTCTCCTGCAGATGTGGACAAAGTACAAGAAAGCAGACATTCAAAAAGCAGGTCTAGGGAGCAACAAAGCTCCTAATTCTATTGCCCACTACATGACATGTGGGCCAAGTGGTGAGTTTACTGCTTATAATGTAAATGAGATTAGTCTCATTTATTATAAACTAACCAAATTAAGTTGAGAACAAGTGCATATTGCATTAACAGATGTAAATATTGCTTGCTTAATTGGTTGACTTTCTGTCTTGTTTACTAGTAAAACAAGATTAGTTGGTTGCCCTAGGTTTTTGCCTGTCAGGGCAGGGAACAAATCTTTACAAATTTTTTTTTTTCCCTTCACTTTAAATTTAATTTTCCTGGTGAGTAATGATAATCTTTTTGTGGTAAAAATAGAGCTTCCCCCACTATTTTGTTGATAACTAATGAGAATAAACTAGATGCCTATTCTATAAAGAAGAGTTGTCTCATTTTCTGTCACTCTCTCATTCCCATTGAAGTATCTGGTGCATGCTGTTCATAGTGGCTGTTCTGTAGTTAGTATCCCTCTTATCTTCAAGCTTTTCTTATATTTTCTTTCTTCTTTCTGCCTTTCAACTAAATACAGAGAGAAAAGTGTCCTTCAGTTTCTCAGTATGAAGCCTTTATTTCTGAAGTAACAAGACACCTAGCAACTATAGGAACCATTTTTTAAAAATCTTTAAGGAGACTTAAACAATCCTTCGTGAATAGAGCAGGCAAGAAATACAAACCTTCATTCCTTCCTTGAATCAAGGAGCACTACTGGATTCAACTGCCAAAAGTTTTAGAAGGTTTTAGGACTTAACTATACGTTGTATTGTTAAGCTCTACTGAATAAAGGACGTTCTCTCACTAAGGACCAAGTGTTTTAAGGTCAAGTGTTAAAAGAAGTACTCCAGGAACAATCTACTTCTCTCATCATTTGTTTATGAATTTATCTGTTTGCTTAATGCTTCTGCTAAGTATTAGTCCAAATCTAGCCATTTATATTTAGTTGTGTAAATCTAAATTAAATGCTGTAGTATTTTGTGCAATGTACTATATATGAAGATACAGAGAAAATTGTTTTGGCATGTCAGAGCCATTTTTTCGTTAGACTGCATGTGTTGGTACTTTTTTTCTTTTTAAAGTCAGTTATCTTTGATGCACTGCAAAAAAATCAGTTTATAAGATAAATCTGAAAATTCATAACAAGAGATAGGAGTTATAAAAATATTAATCTTCCTTATTCCTAACTAAGCTACACTAAGCATTCATACATGGATCCAAGATAAAAGTGTTTTTCTGAAACTTTTTTTAATAAGATGGTTTTCCATTAAATAGCATTCCCAAGGTAAAGCTGTTTCACTGTTTCACTTCTTTACTGTTGGGCTATGTATGTTTCTTTTCTTTTTTTCTTTTTTTTTTTAACTTGAGAGCTGACTGTTGCTTAAGAAGTTTTCTTATGGCAAAAATAATGTAAATAATTTATTACGATCTGCATTTTGCCAGGAACTCATTTATTATTAAGGTTATCATTTATTAATAAGAACTTTTCTGTTTTTTGTTCTTTATAATATTACATTAAAGTTGAAAACTGAATAACAGGTACTTTTGAAATATTTGTATGCATTTGTTACCTTAAACATTTGGAAGAAGCACAAAAAAGTAGATTTAGTTAACCCAGAGAAACATCATTTTTTAGTAGTTCCAATTTTTATATCACAGTTTTATTTTCTTATGAAGTCCAAAAAACTGCATTGATATTCATTAATACAAATTCATTACTTAACAATAAATATCAAATAGTCTTCTGAAATAAGATATTGACTATTTTTTATTTTAATAGCACACTTCTTAGGCTCTCATTACCAGCTCTAAAGGACTTTTTAGAAATGATTCCTTATTCCTTAATATGTGGTTTATGAACTGTGTGTGTATCATTACTAACCCAGTAGCCATGAGAATAGCCTCTCTCCCCTTCCGTCCATCTGTCTCTCTTTTTGGTTAGCAGTGTCGTGTTTATAGTTGTCTTTGGAAAGACCATCAATAAAAAAGAAAGAGAGACAGCATGTTTAGCTGACCAGAAATAGAAATGAAAATTAGAGAACTTGGATTTATTAACTCAGTGTCATCATTAACGTAGGTTTTGCCACCAAATAAAGTTAAATCTCTTTGAAACTCTTGGATGAAAGGTGCTATATAAATGTAAATACAAAAGATTCTTACTGAAATACAAATATTGCACAACATAAATATTCAAAATCTATTCTCTAGACTTTGAGATCTCTCTATCACGACTCCCTTGATTCAAGTATCAAATTGGTAAATGGGTATCATGACAGTCTAGAGACACTTTGCATGTAAAAAATGTAAATTTATTTTTGGTTGGGTAAGTTGAAAGTAAATGTAGACATTATGTTTTAGCTAAATACAGTAAGTGGGTAACTTAGATTTATATTAACTAGCATCTAATTTGCACAGCTAGGACACATCCCAGAACTGTTACTGAAAAGTTGAAATTTAATGAGTGTGAGGTGGCCCAATGAAGATGAATATCACACTTTCACCTCTTCAGGATACTAATATTCTAAAATAGAGAATCTGCTGAATTAACCAGCACATTACTGTTTCTACAGAAAATGCGGAATGACAGCCTTTGAAGTACTAAATTTAAAAAGGCTGATCTAAAAGGACAATTGAAAAGACTCAAAGAAGGGGACATAGTGAGACTGTAAAAATACAAATACTCTCAATTATATTCATCACCTTTTTCATACCATTTCAAGAAAGGACTAGATAATAACCACATGAATATTTTACTTTCTCCAAAAGCTACCGCCAGAAGCAAACATGTAGGAAGCCACTCTTTTACCTTACATAAAGTTCTGTCAAACAAAATAGTAAAGCCAACTGGAAACTCACCAGGGCCTATTCCTGATGAGCCAGACATACTTTTAATTTTCTGGTTCTACTCTGAATCAATACCTAAAACCCCGAAGGAAACTGAAAAATTCAATATACAGGGTAATAACTTTGGCCTAGAGCTGTAATCATGTGCTTCAAATCTAGCCATGTGGAAATGTTTTGGTCCAAGTTTTTGAATTGGTGGTTACCAAAGAGTTTATAAGACAGGTTCGTATGTAGCACCTTTCATGCCAGGCATGGTAAGGGCCTATTTTAAAAAACCACCGTGTGTGTAATAGAATTGCAGCCACCTCACAGATCAAGTTCTACAACCTGTACTGTCTTAACAGATTATGTCAGGAAATGAAAATGATACTGTACCAAATCTGAAATTATAATGGGAATAATAATGTATTCTAAATTACTTTTGTATTTTAAGTTACTTTTTAAAAGAAAAGTGAATTTTTTGGTTTTCTTTTCAACTACTTAATCCCAAAATGTGTTTTTTTTTCTTATAAGCCTTGAATGAGTAATATAAAAGGAGCCCATTTTATAACTTACAAACTTGATGTACATGTTATTTGGATAATGAAATGCCTTAAAAGGAATGCTTAACATAATGTTGCACTTACAACCCCCATTAACAAAACCTGATTTTAAATGGCCTTTTTCTTTTCTAAGGGTTCTTTCTCCAGTGTTTGCCATTGTACTTACAACTGTTATTAAATACCAAATCAATATATAACTGTAACATTTCCTTTAAAACTAATGCTGATGAGAATTTGGAGTTGAATGGCAAAATGTTTATTACTTGGCAATACTTAATATCAGCCATAGAAATCCAACTCGTGAAAAGAGGCACCATTGTTTGATTTGTCTTTTAAAAACATTCATTTTCAACTTAGCTTTTAACTTTGTTTCTCCTTTAAAAAGTTGGATTAACATTCACTTTTCAGACTGATATATAAAAAATAAAATGTGATTTTTTACAAGAAGTAGTAATCATTCTTAAGTCATAATTTTAACCAAGTGTCATTCTGTACCCTGGAGAACTACTTTCAGATGTAATTCCTAACTTCAGATTACTTTGCTCTTATCATACTGGGATGAATATTAGAGGTTTGGGGAGAAAGTGAAGAGTCTCTGTCAGTTCTCTCAATCCCAAAATAGGTATAAATACAGTTTACATATATTGGCTCCCCCATATAGTCCAAAACCCAGTGGATTCCTGATAAAAGTATTAAGTAATACCAAAGTCTATATGTACTGTTTTTTCCTATAACATACATAACTATGATAAAAGTTTATAGACACAGTAAGACATTAATGCTAGTAACCAATAATATAATAATTATAACATATACTATAATAAAAGTTACATGAGTGTAATCTCTTTCAATATCTTATTGTATTCACTCATGAGATGTCAAATGATAAAAATAATGTGATGAAGTAAGGGGGGGTGAGGTCAACGATGTAGGATTGTAACAAAGCATTAGACTACTACTACATAAGAATTACTTGAACAGCAGTACTACAGTTATCCTAACACAGTTGATACCACTACAGTTGATCCTAACATGGTTGATCCACTGTCAGTCTGGTAACTGGTACAGCATAGATACACTGGACAAAGAAATGATAAACACCCCAAGCTGGATGAGATGTGAGATTTCATCATGCTACTCAGAACAACACCCAGTTTAAAACTTGTGAATTATTTCAGGAATTTTCACTTATTTTTGGATTGTGGTTGACCATGAGTAACTAAAACCTCAGAAAGCAAAACTGCAGAGAAGTGGGGACCAGTGTACTAGACTGCACAAAATTTCCACTTACAGACTTTGGGGGGCAATTTGCCTTGTATCCTTGGGCAAATCAGACCTCCTAGACCTGTTTTCACCATCAGACAAGCTTCTCAAGGTCCTCAAATTAAGATTTTATTCCTTCATTTTATGTGCAAAGCAACCTAAAATTACTACAGTACAGACTAGTTAAAAACTTACGTGGAACTTTACAGTCAAGTAATCATTACCTTTATTTTACCTTTCAGTAACATCCCATTTGATTATGTACTAGAGAAAGGATGTGAATTTTAATGACCCACAACAGGATTTCTTGTAATCTAAACCATGTCAGATCCTCAGTTAATGAAGGCTTTTGTTTGATTCTAAGTGAAGTGAAAAAAAGTCAAATTTTCTGTTTTTTTTTAACTAGTTTCTATATGACAACTGACTACATTTTTATAGGCTTTTATACTATTTCAGATGTCCTAACTGAAAGAAAATGAGTAAAATCCTAGAAATAGTGTAGTAAAATACCCGAAAGGACAGAAGAAACTTGTGGAAGTATGTTCAGATTTATAACCTCTGAACCAGATAATCATTTTTAATGGCATAAAAAAAATCAATGGAATACCCAACAGAGTTTTTATCCTTCTCTCCCATGTTTGTTTTAATTATCTTGTTGGGGAATCCTTATTCCTTAATCCCCATTTCCCGAAATAATAATTTAATATATTTTTATTGTATTATATACATTACCATGTGTAAATTTCACACATACTGTTTTTCAGCTTGCTTTTTCAAGTACAATAAACATTCTAAAGATGTAAGCTAGCTAAAGCTAAGCGTTCCTAATTGTTTAAGGCATTCCTGTAGTAATTTACTGTTATAGGAGATGGAAAACAGGATCTGAGTTGACTAAATCTACCTCAGTATGTCTTTTATTTTTAATTTTTCAGTACTGGGGATTTAATCTAGGAGCATTTCACCACTAAGTTATAATCCCATACCTTTTCATTTTTTTATTTTGACACAGGGTCTCACTGAGTTGCTTATGGTCCCACTAAGTTGTTGAGGCTGGTTTCAAACTTGTGATCCCCCTGCCTAAACCTCATGAGTCACTGGGATTACAGTTATGTGCCACCTCGCCCAACTCCATCTTTTTTATTTATTTTTTTAATATTTATTTTTTAGTTTTAGATGGACACAATATCTTTATTTTACATTTATGTAGTGCTGAGGATGGAACCCAGTGCCTCAATGCATGGTAGGCGAGTACTCTACCACTGAGCCACAATCCCAAAACCAAAGATACTATTTTATCACTTTCAATTTTTTGATTTTTATTTCATATAATTTAAAATAGTGAATTGTTACATATTTGTACAGGCACGCAATATAACTATATAATTTCTCTCCCCTGTTCCTGCCTCCTGGTACTACTTTCAACCAGGAAAAAAAGGGGGGGATAAAATAGGGTACCAGAAATAAAATAAAAACTCCATGTCCTTACTTCACCCCAAGGCCTGTTTTCTTCTAGGCCTGAATTCTTAAGATTCAATAAATCTTATATATAATTCATTTAAAAAAAAATAAAATTACAAGACAGTTTTCTGAAATACAGTTATCCAGAGCATTAATTTTTATCAAAATTTAGTATTATGGGTTCATGTCCTGTCATCTTCACAAATGTAAGAAAGTCTTCAGGGCTCAATCCCATGGTTGCAGCATTGGTCATTGGATGAAAGTATAGTTTTTCGTGTCCACCTTCCAGAAAAGCAGAATCCAGAACAAATTTTACATCTCCATCATCACAGAAGAGGGCCAGAGGTGTGGCACAGCCTTGACCAACTTTCAGCTTTTCTAGCATGACTGTTTCATCAGCAAATCGCAGACCTCCGCTCCCAACACCTAACTGTTTGGCAAGATCATTTAAATTAATTTGTCTATCATGAAGAACTGTCACCAACCAATAGTTTTTTTTCTTTTTGTCTTTAAGAAATAGGTTCTTACTATGTGCTCCTTTCAGATGCTGGATGTGAGGCATCATTTCTTCAACTGTAAATACCTACAAAATAATCACATATATGAAAAGTTTAGGAATTAATATGCATATATACATACTTACACATTATGAAATATTTACAATCCCTTTTCTCAATTCCTCATCTTAGGATCTCAGGCAGTTTCTCTTTAGACCAGTGTTCCATTCCAAGGTGCAGCCAAGCATGCTCTCACATTCAAAACAAAAACAAACAAAAAAAAAAATTTAAACTTTGGGTATTAAAAGTAGACAGCTGCATAAGACTTGGAAACTTACATTTAAAAAAGCATCCAAAAAATCTGGCAATATGCACAGGTAAAGCCCAGCACAGTGGCACAACCGGTAATCCTAGCGACACCTGTAATCCCAGTGGCTCAGAAGGCTGAGGCAGGAGGTTTGCAAGTTCAAACCCAGCCTCAGCAACTTAGCAAGACCCTATCTCAAAAAGCGGGGGTTGGGGGTTGGAATGTGGCTCCGTGGTTAAGCACCCCTCAGTACCAAAAGGTGGGGGGGGGGGATGTCAGAGACCATATGGAAGAGAGGAAGGTCAGAAAAAGTCTTGATGTTGGATTTGTAAAGGTAAGGAATACTAATTTTGTATTCTGGTCTTTGGAGATCGCCATTTTAGCCATCATCGATTGTCACTTTTGGGTAAGCTTTATGCCCCGCACCACTCAAGTTACACTAGTTTCAGGAAACGTACAAATATTCACATTAGTACATTAAACCATGTTAAGGGGTGGGGGTTGTGGTTCAGTGGTATAGTTCTTGTCTTCCACCTGGGAGGCAATGGGTTCGATTCTCAGCACCACATATAAATAAATGAGTAAAAAAAGGTTTATCAACATCTAAAAATATGTCCTAAAAATGTTAAAATGTGCATATTCGCAACCTTTTTTTTTTTTTGGAGGGAATGGTGATTTTTGCCATGCTGGAAAAGTGTAAAGAGTAACCTTTGTGATAAACTGATCCATGACTGCAAAATATCAACCCCTCACCTCCCGCTGTACGTAGGGGCCACTAAATAGGCGGTTTGGTGCTTTGTATCACTTTATATACACAAAGTGGACAAACTGACCACAACCAGACCGGTTAGATGCACAAGTTTTCCATATTTTGAACTAGTTCTCAACATAGTAGGTGATCAAGTCACTCCAAGAAGAAAAGTTTCAGGACAAGCTCACAGTCACTAATCGAAAGCACTCTGCTGAACATCACCCCTGGAACGCCTATCTCCACGGCCTCGGCGGATGGAACTGCAGTGAGTGAGCACCTGCTCTGGCCAGGGCTGTCCCTGCAGTCACGCCTAACGCGGAAGCCTCACCTCGGGGTGTTCCACAATCTCCGTGCGGATGGCAAGGGCATCGAGTCGCTGCTCCAGCGCTGCACGCAACTCAGAGCCCGCCATTCCACCGCCACGCCGACAGCCGGAGGCGGAAGTGCCGGAGGGTTGACAGCCGAGCCGGAAGCCCAGTGTGCGCACCTTCCGGAGGCGGGGCCGCGCCGCCTTGCCACTCTGCGCGGGCCTGCGTTTCCACGTGCTAATGCCTGCGGGTGCCTAGTCAGACTGCCTGACCCCGCCGCAAGTTTCCTGGGTCCGCACGTTTTTCGTTTAAATAGAATCGATTTCTATTGCAGCGCTAACCGGGACTCACCTTTTGCTTGGTTGTTTGATCACATCTTGGTGCAATGTTTTCAGCTATACTGGCAAACACGCTTTCACCACTTGAGTGAGGCATGAAATTCCACGTTAGAGTTTCACTTAGAGATTTAGATTAACGCTCAAATCTCGTACGGAACCTGGAACGTTCAGTGTTTGTGTGGATGAGTTCGGGTAACTTATCACTTGCAAAATGAGTCTTTACCAGGAGCCTTGGAAGAAGCTGCAAAAGAAAAAGAAATCAGGGTTGAATTTACAATTAATTTCACCCAGAACTGACTTTAGATAACACAATTTTATCAGCTTTATTTGCCTCCTAGACTTTTAAGTTGTGTTTTTTGTTTGTTTGTTTTTTAAGGTCCATGTTTGCTTATTTGTTTACCCCTCCCCCTTCTAGGCGCCTGGGGTTAAACATTGGAGGACCTTGTGTGCTGTGCCTGCCTACCACTGAGCTACATCCCCCACCCCCACGCAGTTGTTTTATTTCTGATTATAGAAACAGCAGGTCATTTCCCATGGCCTCAGTAAATTCAGATCGAAACCAAAATCAATTTATCGCATTACACCGTTACAGGGCATTTGGAAAATAAGAGAAAATATCACTCAAACTCCAGTGTTCCTATAATGCTATTGCTGCTTAGGTCTGTCTTTCCAGTCTTGTGCTTCTTTCTTTTATTCTTGTTGCTTTGTATAAACGAAAGTTTTTCAGATAATTGAAACCTTCATATATACACAGTTTTGTATCCTGCTTTTAACAGTTACAAGCATTTTCCAGTTTCTACACTGTTTTCCTATTTTAATAGATATGTAGTTAAATCATAGTTTTGTTAAGAGTTTTTATTGGTTTTTGTTATTTTTGAGGTGCTGGGGTGGAGCTCTAGGCCTCATCAATGCTACACCAGTCCTTTTCCCCTAAGCTACATCTCCAAACCAGGATAATAATTTTCTTTATCATTTCTGCATTGGTGGACATCCTGTGTTAACGAATTCTAATATTCTAAATCGCTTTCCAAAATAAATTATTCTTATTTATAATATATTAACAATGTATGAATTAACCCATTTTTCTACATTTTGGCAGATATATAATTTTAAAATTTGACAAAAGGGACCATTTATTTTTTAATATGCATTTTTCTGATTATTACATATATGTATATATAATTTCTAAATTAAAATTTTATTTATTTAATTTATTTACTTGCTTATTTATTTATTTATTTATAACAGTACTTGGGATTGAAACCAAGGTGCTCCACCACTGAACTACATTCCCCACTATTTTTATTTTGATTTGAGACAAGATGTCACTAAATTGATGGGACTGGCCTTGAATTTGTAATCCTCCTGCCTTACCTCATGAATTGCTGGGATTACAGGCTGTGCACCAAGCCTGGCTGTAATTTAATTTTCTTTTTCTATTTTTTAATAAGCATTTTTTTCTGATTACCCAGGACCTGGATATGTTTCCATGTTTAGTCTGTGGTCCTACCAGCCTGAATGCACCTGATCACATCTGTTTCCATGTTTATTATTTTATCTTCCCATTTGTGAACTAGCTTTGTTCCTATCTTGGCTCATTTATCCACTGAATGAATATTAATGGGTTTGATACTGATAAATAATTAAGTTATCTGTCTTTCATTTGTCATATATCCTCCAAATCGTGTTTCTTTTATTCCAGTTTCCATCTACAGAAGTAAACTCATTTTTGTGTAACCAAATGTCACTCTTTTTAAGCTTTTTTTGACCTAAGTTTCTAAACTTAGGAGTTTAAACTCCAGCAATAGAATATTCAGACTATTTTCTGTTTTGTTTTCTTAACAATATTTAATTATGGGGGGCTGGGGCTATAGCTCAGTGGTAGAGTGCCTGCCTTGCACGTATGAGGCACTGGGTTCAATCCTCAGTACCACATAAAAATAAATAAAGATACAGTGTCCATTTACATCTAAAAAATTTTT